GCATCGTGGAGGGCCTTGCTCACGTAGTAGATCGGAAACTGGCCCGAATCGTCTTCCCGAATCAGGGCGGCGCTTACGGCCACCTCGGAAATCCCCAGGTATAGATACAGCATTTCACCTGGGCGGGGCTTCTGCATCGTTGGAGCCTGGCTGAGGGTCTCCTTGATTGCCTCCAGCGCCTTTTGGCAGGCCGGCGTCCACTCGAACTTGTGATTTTTCTTGATCGCGTCAAAGAACGGTTTGCAGCGGTCGGTGGACTTCGAAATAAATCGACTCAGTGCGGCGAGCTTGCCAGTCAGGCTCTGGACTCCTTTAATTGATGTTGGCGGTCGGAGATCTTGCACCGCCTTGATTTTCTCGGGGTTTGCATCGATGCCGCGCTGACTAACTATATACCCCAAGAATTTTCCCGAACCCACACCAAACGTACATTTTTTCGGGTTTAACTTCATCGAATAATCACGCAAAATAGAAAACATTTTATTAAGATCGTTTACATGATTGGACGCGTACACGGACTTGACTAACATGTCATCTACATACACTTCCATACAATCACCTATCAAGCTAGCAAACATTTTATTAACTAAGCGCTGGTAGGTGGCCCCGGCGTTCTTTAGCCCGAACGGCATCATTGTATAGCAGTAGAGACCGCGTGCCGAATAGAAGGAGGTATGCTCCTCGTCGTCCGGGTGCATAGGAATTTGATTGTAACCGGAGTATGCGTCCATGAAGCTCATCAGCTCGTGTCCTGACGTGGCGTCGACCATGTAGTCGATGTGGGGGAGGGGATAGCTGTCTTTGGGGCATGCCTTGTTCAAGTCGGAGAAATCAATGCACAGCCGCCACGCCCCGCTGCTCTTTTTTACGAGTACCGGGTTGGCCACCCAGGTCGGGTACCGGACCTCGCGTATGTACTCGTTATCTTTCAGCTTGGTCACTTCTTCTTCCAAGGCTTGCTGTCGGTCGGGGCCGAGCTTCCTCCGCTTCTGCACGACCGGCTTGACCGTGGGGTCGACCTGCAACCGGTGGCAGGCGACCTGTGGGTCAATGCCGACCATGTCCTCGTGGGTCCACGCAAAGACATCTGCGTTTCGCCGGAGAAATTCGGTCAGTTCGGCCTTTATAGGCCCCGGCAGCCTGCTCCCAATTCGGAGTTGTTTCAGGCAAGTCTCTTCATCGATGAAGATGACTTCGACTTCGTCCATCGGCTCGGCCCTCTTCGTTCCCCGTTTCTCCTCGTATTGTGTCCGGGGGTCGAGCTCGTCCTCCTCCATGATCGGCTTTTTGCCAGCCCTTCTCCCCCTGTCCCTGTCGAGGTTGCCTTCGATTCCGTCCTCGACAAGGTTCGTCATCTCGGTGCCCGGGGTCAAGTCATCTGCCCCGGCGCTGGGCTCCGTGATAGTGGGGTCGGCACTCGACGAGGTCGGGGGGTGCGAACCTGTCTGGTTTCTCAGCATGCGGTTGCCCCCGTGATCGCCGTGCGCCGACTCGATGTCCGCCGCCCCGGCGTCCTCCTGTAAGTTTATCATGTTTATTTCGGTGCGCGGGATGGTCAGGATGCATTCCCGTGCCTCCCTTTGGTCTCCTCGGTGGGTCCCTTCCCCGTCGGGAGTTGGGAATTTGAGAGAATAATGGAAGATGGAGACGGCGGCCTTCAATTTGTAGAGCGCCGTCCTGCCCAATATGGCGTTGTACTCGCTTGGGCAGTCCACGATTTTAAAGGTTTCCAAGATCGTCTTCGTGGGCTGCCCCCTGTCTCCGAACCGGACCGGGAGCGTGACCTGTCCAATCGGGGCGACGGTATGACCGTTGAAGCCCTGTATCCGCTCCCGGCAGGGTTGTACCTCCTTCCTATCGATCCCCATCTTTTTTAAGGTCTCGTAGTAAAGGATACTGGCGTAGGCCCCGGTGTCGACCATGATGCGATGGATCTTAATCGCCATGATCGGCGCCGTGATCACCAGGGCGTCGGAGTGGGAATGATCGAACAGGAAGGCGTCTTCGTCGTTGAAGGTGATGGTGTTTGGGGTCGGCTCCGGTGCCGGCCTGCTGTGGGCATGCATCACCCTCTGCCCGGCGTGGTAGGCCTGTCGGGCGTAGGCCTTGGTTTGCCTCCGAGAGAGGAGGGACTCGCTCCGGCTCGTGTTGACACGCCGGGTCGGGACGTCGGTCGGGTCGGACCCGGTGTGAGGGGTCCGGTCTCTTTTTCTGCCCCTAGAGGTACCGGCCTCATCCTGATGAGTGGGGCAGAAGGTCATGATCTCGTGGGGGCCGCCCTGCTGCGGCTTCTTTCTTCGAGGATTCATGTCAGCATCCTCGTCACTGTCGGGGCTTTCCTCGAAACGCCCCCCTTTCTTTCTCTTATCCCCGGAGTGCGTGAACTTCCGGAGTTGGGGGTCATCGATCAGCTTCAAAAGTGCCGAGATCAGATTTCGGCATTGATCGGTGTTATGCCCATGCGCCTTGTGGTAAGTGCAGTAGCGGGTTTTGTCTACTTTGTCTTTGTCAGTGAACATTGGCTTGGGGTCCGGCAACAACCCTTTGGCCTTAATCTCCTCGTAGACCGCCGCGGCCCCTACCGAGAAGACGCCCTGGTAGCTCTCCCTCAGCTCTTCGGCTCTCTGTCTCCGCTGAGCTCGAATCTCAGCGAAGGACTTGCTCGGCTTCCCTGATTTCTCCTCCTTTGCCTTCGCCTTGGCCGGTGCCGGTGCCGGTGCGGCGTCGAAGGTCGGGATAGATGAGGATTCCTCCGCCATGATATAATCTTGAGCGCGGGTGAGGAACTCCTGGTAGGTGGTTGGTTTGTTCTGGCACAGGGACCACCTGAACAAGGTCTTCGGCCTGAGGCCGCCCTGGGCCGTAATGAGCAAGGCGTCGGGGTGGCACTGTTCCATGTTTTGGACCCGGTCATTGAACCGAGCAATGTAATCCTTGAGGCTTTCATTCTCGCCCTGCACGATGTTTGAAATGGACTCCTTGGGGGCGAGGTTGACCTGCGACCCGATGAAGTGAGATCGGAACGCCGACCTCAGCTGTGCCCAGGTTGAGATGGAGCGGGGGTAAAGGGAATGGTACCACCTCTGTGCTTTGGGCCCCAGCGTCAGGGAGAACATGCGACAGCGCAGGGCGTCGGAGGCGCCGTGCAGGTCCATCCAGGAGGTGTAGAGGCCGAGGTGGGAGTCGGGATCCGAGCTCCCGTCATAGAGGCCGAGCTGGGGAATTTGTATTCCCTTCGGGACGGCTTCTTGCAGGATGTCGAGGGAGAGGGGCGAGGCGTTGTCCGCAACCCGAGGAGTCGGTCGCGTACGGATTTGTTGGTGAACTGGGAGTGAGAACTCGCTCCCGGTGGGTTGCCGACCCTCCAGCTCGGCGATTCTGCGCTTGAGGGCCGCGACCTCTTCAGTGTCGTGGCCGATGGCTTTGCCTCGTCTGATCACCTCCCGGAGATCGTGGTTGGCGTGACTCTTGTCCCCCAAGCGTTGGTGGACAGAGCGACGAACGACCGGGAGGCTTCGCTCTGGCCGGCTCTCCCCCGTCTGCTCTGTGGGAGCCGGTCTGATACTCTTATCGCGACGGTTCTGGGCCTCGCGGTTCGGCGATTGAGCCGTGGTTTTTGATTTTGCTGGGTTTCTCTGTCCACCGGTCTCCTTTTCAGGAGTGTGGAGCAAGGTGTTGCCGGGGTTCTCCGTGGGCACCACAGTGTTCGCCCCGGCGGTTTGACTGGCGAGGGCCTTGGCGAAGACCCCCTCGAGAGCTTTGAGGACGTCGGGGTGCTGCAGGGCCGCAGCGAAAGTAGGAACGGGGGGTACGGGGACGATGGGTCCCTGCTGAACGCGACGGGAAGACTCCCCGCCGTTGCGGCGGCGAGACTGGGAGCCGGACTGCCGGGTGGAGTCGTCATGTCCGGATGAAGGCATTTTGGAAGTAAAAAGGGGGGAAAAAAGATGAATGCGATGTGTGTAACTTCACAAGATCGAAAAATTGACACCAAGTAACTTATGGGGCCCTTCCTCTAGCGCCAAACTGTTGACGGACGTTTCCGGTCAACGGTTAAAAAGTCAAATAATGGAAAGAAAACAGAAAAAAGACAAGGAAATACGGTTTAATCACAGTTTTATTAACGGGTCACGAGGTCGGCCTCTCGTGCGAGGTCGGCTCTTGTGATATACTTATATTGCTTACAGGAATTTCTTACAAATTCTTTAGAGAGAGAAAATGTGAGCTCGAGTAGTTGGGATTTCAACAACCCAAAAATAAATGAGGGGGTTGCTATTTATAGGAGACTTCAATGCGGTACTGTTTGGGTACTGTTCAGCGGTCTTGTCGCGCAGTAGCTCAACGGGACAAACCGGCGCTTCTCTGACTGATTGAGAGTAATTTCCGGATTCTCCAATCATTACCTGCCATACATTTAATGCGAACGTGGGCTGCATTAAATGCGGACACGTTCTGGCTGAGTTGGACGTCCCATCGGCAATCATGCATAGACAAGTGGCATTATTTTATTGCGTCCGACGTCATACTTCTATCAGGAGCCGCCCTTGCGAGGCTGGAAATAAAGTGCCGATCTCGTAACCACACGGATTCGGTGCCGATCTCAGAACTGGTTCTCCCCACCGTCCCAGACAACTTTGACTCTCCTTCAGCTCGGCACCCACGTGCGGTTTTGGTGACCGGCTCCTTCGGCTCGGACCGATACCTACGTAGGGTCCGGACTCGGATATCAACAATAACTATTTAAATCATACTATTATATATTAAAAAGTAGTTAATCCTTTTTTATTTGGGTTCTACCAGTCGGAGCCCAGACATAAAATAAAAATGTCTGACAATGTAAGAGGGGAGAAGAAATTAAAAAGAGATAAACATGCGTTTGCCGGGAGTCGAACCCGGGTCTATTGCTTGGAAGGCAATTATCCTAACCGTTGGACTACAAACGCGACTACTTTCATTTTGGTATATAGTTACATATATAAACTGTTGACTTATTACTGCAGAATGCATCGTTTATTTGTGATTTTGGTACTTGGGCGTTAATGGAGATGAAGCTGAGGCAGCGCCCGCGGATGAGGAGCCAACTCGCCACCGTACGCTCGGCCTTTCAGACTATTTCTTCCTCCTCCCTTAATTCTCCTCCTCTCATCAGCTTTCTCTTTCATCAATCCTTTTTCAATGGTCGCTCTCTCTCATGCTCAGCTGCCGCCACTCTTCTTTCCGTTCCTTCTGGTATTATGTCTTTCCCCCTTTGAAATTTCTCTGATATGTATATAAATGTTCCATTGTTTCTGTTTATTTATGAACTTTTTTCGTTGGATGTGTTTGAGAAAATTGAGTTAAATTTCTGGTACCTGTGCTAAGGAGACGGCGACAAGAGTGGTGGGATTCCAGTGGAAGAACCCAAAGTGCTTTTAAAAGGGATGAGATATCACGAACTCGAGGTTTTTTCTTTACCCTTGTTGTTGGCGTTTTTATTATTTTTTTTTTTTCAGCATTTTCTGGTGTGGGACTAAGAATTATGCTCAGGTTTTGTTTGTTTTGTTTTTTCTTCCCAGTTTATGTTCTTACTTTGCCTTTGCTTTTCTAGATGGCTATGAGCTTCTTGTTGTCTGTTGGGAAATCATGGGTTACAACAGTATAGAGACTTTCCAAATATCACTCACATCTTGTGTAACTCATCGTACGCGTACTGCAATGTGTACTTCGCCTTACACTATATATGTATATATATAGATATATATTATCTGAATAAAACTGTTCCTGAGCAGTTTGTTCATCATGATCAATTTTTGTCGCATCTAATTTTGCCCTATGTTAATAATCATGTTCTCCTTTCCATCTTATGTGTGCGTGCGTGTGCGTGTGCTTTTTTTCGTTCCCACTCTCCTGATATTTATGCTTAAGACCTGAGTAATGTTTATAACTCAATGTGCAAGTGTATTGTATGGTTTTATGTGATGTAGAAGTTTGGCATTTTTTAATTATGGTTTTCTGATGTGACAGAAATGGATTCAGTCTCATGGTTATAGGCCTGGTCAGGCCCTGATGTTATGGAGACGACTCTATGGAAATAGCATTTGGGCTCAATGCCACGAAGAATTAGAAGGTTAGTTTATCTTTGTTCTGGATTCATTAGCTAGGGTCTATATTTTGTATTTCAATTTAGTATGTGCCTTCTATATGCACCTCAAGTGACCCCCTAGTTGGAATTGATAGAAATTTAGATGATACAAAAGATTTTCACGTAAGAGGGGAGAAATATTTTTGTGATGAGAAGTAGTCAGTTTTACACTATATTTGTCTTGTGAGGATCTTTCTGAAGAAGACAGACACCTAATCGTAATTGAATTTCATTTTAATGTTGCTGTCCATCGTTTGGGTTCTGTTATTTTTAATCTACGCTCTAGCGTTGTTTCATTTGTACAGTAATTTATCATCTTTCCCTTTTAAATTTTGATATTTCCTAAGAAACCAAACAAAGAATGATTATAGATATTTCCATTCTTGTAAAGCATCCATATTTCAAATATATTCTTCCGGGTTCAAACTGATTCATCTGCTATTGCCAAAGGTTTGAACAAGGACCTCAAAAGTATGTTACGAGATCATGCTGCATTCAAGGCTCTACATTTTAAGGATATGCATTCAGCATCTGATGGAACCAAAAAGGTAAAGACTTCAATTTTTTCTCTATTTCAGTCCATGCAAATTCATTGATTTTGAAGTCACGGGAGGCTTACAGATATTATTCACGTTGGACGATGGATTGGTGATAGAAACTGTTGTGATTCCTTGTCCAAGGGGCCGAACTACAGTTTGTGTTTCAAGTCAAGTGGGCTGCGCAATGAATTGCCAGTTTTGTTACACAGGAAGGTTAGATTTTCACTTGAATTGCCTATGGTTTTTTCAGATTTAATGGTTTGGATTTAGATGTTTTTGTCAAGTGCCACACTGTTATAGTTCCAATTGCATGTATATGACACTCACAAATTACGAAAGAATGGTGGCCAGCAGTTTGTCAATTTATTTTGTCTAAGCTTTTGGTATTTTTTTTTTTTTCTTTTACAGAATGGGATTGAAAAGGAACTTAACTGCAGCTGAAATAGTGGAGCAGGCTGTTCTTGCAAGACGACTGCTTTCACATGAAGTCGGCAACATAACTAATGTTGTCTTCATGGTGAGTTTTTAATTGACTTGTGTTTAGTTTATGATTGGGTACTTTACCCTAGTTAATATACTGATAGGTCTGAAACTAATTGACAGCTGAATTATACATGCTCTCTGAAAGGACATACATGTGTTTCCTTATGCTCTAAACTTCTCGAATGTAGTGTCAAATGTAGATAAGTGGACTTGTCTTTATTTATAGGGAATGGGTGAACCACTTCACAACATCGAGAATGTTATAAAAGCTGCCGATATATTGGTAGATGATCAAGGCCTTCATTTCAGCCCCAGGAAGGTTACTATTTCAACAAGTGGGCTTGTTCCTCAAATAAAGCGTTTTCTCAAAGAATCTAATTGTGCATTAGCTGTCAGCTTGAATGCTACCACGGATGAGGTACTATCTCTGGACTATGCAGTTGCTAGATATAAGATAAAAAAAGGTTCATGCTTTGACAATTCTTAACAGATTATCCGAAAATGTGTAGGTCAGGAATTGGGTCATGCCAATTAACCGTAAGTATAACCTGGAGCTGCTTCTTGGTACACTTCGGGAGGAATTACGTCTTAAACACAACTACAAAGTCTTGTTCGAATACGTGATGCTTGCTGGAATCAATGACAGGTCAGACAACCTTTGCATATTGTTTTGTTTTGGAGAAAAATCGTATTTTAAAGTAGTTAATTTTATTGTGAAAAGACACGCCTGTAGTTTAACTTTCTATTGGGTAACATTACCTATATTAGACCCTGTAAGTCTGCAGCAAGATTCATGAGGCCGCCTGCTAAGATCCAGAAGAAGTGTTCAAAAGTTTTGTTCTATCTCGAGTAATCAATGGGTAGAAACTTATCCGAACCTCGAGATGAACATTGATAGATCGTGATCTCTATTTTACAGCAAAGTACTCTTGTTCTGAGGAACTTTTACCTGTGAAAATAGTTTGCATCTGATAAGACCAACAAATACCTTCTTTTGAGAGATTTCTTGAACATAGCATTTAATATTTAAAGAAAAGTATCTTCATGCAATTCTAAATTGAGATCTGAGTCCAGTTAGTATTGATATGAATAAACTCTATAGGTGTTTTCTTCATTTTCAATACTACATTATTTTGGAACAGTCTCCATGTGCAGAATTTCGCACTTGTCCATTTTTGGTGATATTTTCTGGTCCATATTTGCAGTGTTGAAGATGCAAAGCGGCTGATCAATCTCGTCCAAGGCATTCCATGCAAGATCAACCTCATCTCCTTTAATCCTCACTGTGGATCCCATTTCAGGCCAACCAAAGAGGAGAAGATGATTGAATTCCGCAATATCTTAGCCCAATCTGGGTGTGTTGTTCTCTTACGATCGAGTAGAGGCGATGATCAGATGGCCGCATGCGGCCAGCTTGGCAAGCCTGGCGAAATCCAGGCTCCTTTGCTTAAAGTCCCACCAAAGTTCCGGGTCGCGCTACAGGCTTCAGTTTGAACAGTTCTAATATGTTCCTTTGTTGTTGTTTTAATGGGGATAGAATGATAAAATCAGTATTCTTCTCACACAGGAAGTTTGCAGATATGTACCTGAATATAATTAGGGGAGTTTCAGAGTGGATTATTTGACATAGATATTTTATTTTATTTTATTTTATTATTTTTTTCGAAACGATAGACTTTATAAATAACACATTTATTTACAGTCTAGAAAACATACAGTAACATCCGAGTCCAGCAGCTACACAACTGAATTTAATAGAAAGAATACACGAATGTAGCATAGATCCTACAATACTAACACAAACAAAACCCACAGTGCTAGATACTCCAATAAGTGCAGAATACAAACTCATAAAATGGAGAATAAAACTCCTGAAAGAAGAATATGTTGGGTCTATGAGGAACGACGTCGATATGCACATTCAAATCTAATAGATTAATTCCTAATGTAGTAGAATCTATAGTAAGGATCATGATTTACGGTCTAAATTTTTTTTCGACTCTGAGACAACTTACACAGCTTACAGGATTGGACAATCTGAGACGTGTCCTTGAGCCCATGTTTCTAACTGCTCCTCATCGAACCTTGGGTGTGTGCGTCGAGATCGCTGGATAGGGCTTGGGATTGTCAGGTCGTCGCGCGGGTGCTCCGCTGCGTGTGTGTGCCTTGTTGCGTCGCGGTCGTGCTGGTGTTGTGAATGAGGTGACGTGAATAAGGGTAGGCTGCTCAACAACGCCTATAGTCTCGGGCACGCAAGAGAGCACAACGGGTAGCTGAAGCACGCAACACCGAGCTCAAGACGGGACGGGCACACGGATCGACCGTGCAACAGAGGCACGGGTCGATCACGCGACCGACGGGCACACGAAGTAGGAAAGGGCGCACACGGGCGTGACTCGAAGATGTCGAGCCAATTGGACGGATAAAGCGGACCAGACTTGGGCTGTAAGACTTGGAGATATTCTAGAAGATTAAGGATCGATTGTTTCTATATACCTCAAGATTGTTTTACCTTATTATTTATTATTATTCCTAGATTGTTTAGGCTTTGAATAAATTCGGTATCTTTAGGATCCTAGTAGTTATTTACTTTCTATAGTGTGGGAGTTTAATTCCCTTAAAACTACTACTGACTTTACTTCCAAGTACTTTTTGCATTGTTATTCAATTTTCTTCAATTTTAGACTTAATAAAAATTCCGATCTTTCGATCACCCACTTTGTGTGTTAAGATTCTCCTGAGTTTTATCATCCTTTTGTGCAAATAAAGTAGGCGCGTCGTTTGTGAAACCTATCACCGAGGAGGGAAAGCCAATTGCGCGTCCGTCGGAGGCAAACGAGTCGCCAAATTCACGATATTCATCATTTGTGCTTTCATTGAGAGTAGAAGCGGATCTAGAAAATTTAATTTGGGGGGGACCAAATAATTTTCAATAATGACATACTTCATTAAGAAGATAAAGTTGCATTTCTAGAATAGAAAACAAAAATAGTTCAAGAAAAATACATACCGTTCAAACTTTGTGACTATCAGAATTGTGCTCGACGTTCTCTCAAGTCACGAAATCCATCGATGATTGACTCGGTAGTAATAGATCTTGCAATTTCCCTTTCAACAAAATAGTCAAAGAATTTACAAAAAAATCATCTTCCATTTTACTTCGAAGTTTGGATTTAACAATAGCCATAGCTGAAATGCACGCTCTGTAGTCGCCGTAGACACAGGAAGAGTAAGAATCAACCTTATTGATCAGTCAATCAATTGATATATCAAGGATTTTCTACTTTTCGCTATCTATTGACACAAATCAGAGATAGTGCACAGATTTTGAAATTCTGAATGCTTGAGAACATCAATATCATAATGTCGCAATTGAACTTGCAGTAAATCTCTTTCATAATCTGTGAAGTCTCTGGGATAAAATTCATTGACAAAAAGGCAAGCGCTATTTATATCAAAAGACAATTGAGAATTGCGAGGATCAAACATAGAGTTAAGAACAAGTAGCTTCACGGCATGCTCACTAAATTTGTTGTTTAGCTCTTGCAGTTGACAATCTATCGTAACCGTAAATATATTAATACGGTCATGATCACCGACTGTAATTAGGTTTTGCTTGTTCCGAGATCGTCCTTCTCTTTCAACATATAAATAATTAACATTGGGAATATCTATGGCACGACTTTCACCAAAAGACTTTACCTTGCCAAAAAGACTGTCATATCCATCATCTCTCAGTTTTTGGATTAGACTCTTGTAGTATCAACAAGATGCATAGCATTCAGAATATCTTGAGATTTTTGTTGGAGAGCTTGACAAAGCGTATCAGTTATTTCTATTATTTATTTCATAAGATGCAAGATGAAGACGAACTCGAAAGAGGTCAAAGAAATGTAAGCCGAATCTGCACCGGCTCGTTGATCACAATTTTCCTCATCAATGATGCACAACAAAATCGAGCAAGCTGCACTAAACATCTTCAACAAGCTAGAAATCGACCTCAAGTGCGAACCCCACCGTGTATCTCTTGCTCGTTGTAAACTGCCAATTTGATTTTGTCCAGACCTTTTTTCAAGCTCATCAATAGAAATCAAGCAATATCAGAAGCTTGTGCAGCTTTTAATTCATCGACACGTTTACAAGAAGAACCCACCACATTCTTGATGAAATTTAACTTGGTAAAAAAATGGTGGACGGGAATAACTTCTCTAGATGTACCAACCAACGCCAATTGCAAACGATTAGCTAAACAATGCATATAATATGCACACGGGCATTCTTTAGCAATTAGTGCTTGTAACCCGTTGAATTCACCACGCATATTACTCGCCCCGTCATATCCTTGACCCCGAATATTTTGAATGTCAAGATTATGATGAGAAAGGGTGGAAAATATTGCATCTTTTAGAGTTATCGCCTTCGTATCACACACATGTACAAGATCAAGAAGCGCTCTCGAACAAAACCACAAATATCAACAAATCTCAAGACGATACCCATTTGCTCCTCTTTCGATTGATCTCTGGCCTCATCAACAATAATGCAAAACTTTGCGTCCCCAATTTCTTCACGAATCGCTTTCTTGATCATCATTGAGATAACAAGTAAAATGTCGTTTTGGACAGATGGGGATGTATAAGAGGCATTTTGAGGTGCTTTGTCTAATACAACATTTGCTATTTTCATTAAGCTTAGACATTGCACTCAAAAATTCAAGAAAATTTCCACGATTAAGAGACTCTTTACTTTCATCATGACCTCTAAAAGCCAAATCTTGACTTGCAAGATATCGGGCAGAAACAATTGAAGCTTCAAGCCGTAATCTATTTTTTGCAACTTGTTCAGAAGATTGCTTTTCAATAAGTGGTTGAACATGTTGTGCTTGATTCATTAGGTCTTCACATGATTTCTCAGCAATTTGGTGCAATGAATTATAATCTTTTCCAACGTGATTTAGAAATGCACAATCTTTTTCATTCCGTACTTTTTTCCAGTTTCTGAACCCATCAACAATAAAAGTATTCTGACTGTGATGAGTACCAGGTTTGTTGAACAAATACCAAGGTAAACAAAATGCAGCATCACTCGTAGGGAAATATTCTAACCAAGATGGAAATATCTTGAACCACGACGCTTGAAAACGACGAGAATGCTTATATTTTCCTTTGTATTGATAAGGACCGTAGCTAATATAAGCTCGTCGAACTTCATCAATTTTATCAACGGGATAACTTGATATCGGCATACGTAACGCTAGATCACGTTCAAGTTTGTTGATATCAAACACCATCAGTTCAATTATATGTGATTTTTTAATGTGATTAACAACTTTCTAAATCGTTGATGGTCCCCCATTATCTTCCTCAATTTGATCACGTTTTCTCTTGAAAAACGAGTCTATTCTTGATGACTTTGACATATCCTAAAAATAAAAATAAACAATAAAATTAATATTTAAGAAATAGTATAAGCCTATATATGATTCGTGAATTAAAAAATGATATAAGCCTATATATGATCTAAGCTAAAGAGGATGAATTAAGACACTTAAGAATGATGAATAAATGCACACATTGAGTGCTAGTTTTAAACCTGAAATCCCTAAAAAGGATAAATAAATTTAATTATGAACATGAGCATAAATTAAAATACTCACAAATATGAAAGGATGATCAAATACTCAGAAGAATCAAGGAATTGTGTTGAGTGTGATTGTTGGTNTCAATAGTGTCTCGCTGTGGTCATGCGATGTTGAGTGTTGAGGGCCTCAACTATTTTTTAAGTTAATTAAAGTAGTTTAGATTGGTTTGATTACTAAAGAAATAATATAATATTACAATACATAAAAGGTTGGAAGTTGGGGTAGGTTCTTTTAAATATATCTTTAATGGGCTTGGTCCTAGCCCACCTAATCTAAGACAAAAAAAATTTAGTTAATTGGTTAGGGGAGCAAAGATAATTAAATATACTTAATCTATTATCTATACTACTCTAAAAAGACGAGTGTTTTTGTAAAAATATGAACTACCTAAAATAACTTTACTTTGACATATTTTTAATGGCAAATTAGTAATACAGTAATATATATTTTAATTTATATTTTTAATTAAAAAAATGAATTACCTAAAAAACCCTTACTTTAACATGTTTTTAATGGCAAATTAGTAATATCCTAATACCTATCATATCTTATAATTTTAATTAATAACTAATGCTTAATTACTTAAATACAAATACATGAACAATACATTTCACATCTCCTAAAAATCAAACACAATATTCACGCACCATTATTTCTCACGAAATTGCTTTCTTCCACATATCTCCCAAAAATCAACCTAACATCAACCTAAACAATAAAGTTTTGAAAAGATATAGAATTGTTGTTTTAAAAAAAAAAATCCTTGTTTTTAATATAATTTTATACATTATCTGACAAACTAGAAAAGTTGAACAATTCATTTAACTACTTCATTATTTAAGAAAAGTAAAATCATATATTTAGAATTAGAATAGAAATTGCACTTTAGTCTTACTGGATGGAATTTTGATCCCACAAAAATCGTCATTTGTTTGTTTGTTTGTTTTTTCCAATTTTAGTCACAAAGTGAATAAAATTGACGAATTTTCACTTGACCATTGAATGGTTAATATCAAGGTTAGTAATATTTTAATTATTAACACTTAAAATATATGAATTTTATATTCAATAATTAAGTAAAATATCATGAGATTTTAATTATTATTATTTTATATGAGCCACTGATTTTAAAGATGTGTGCTAAATAAAGAAATGATTTGAAAGTAAAAAATTAATAAATCTGATGAATAACATTAAAAATATAATTAAGGTGTAAGGCTTGCTAATAAATATGAAAACAAATAATAAATAAAAATTTTATAATTAATAAAATTAAACATAAAACTTTTAAAACTTATATTTATCGATGTAAATGAATCGAATT